CTGCAAAGGGTTCCTGAGCCTTTAAATGGTCTCTCAGTCTGGTTCAGTAGGAATCACAATCATGGGAAAGACCGCTGACCTGACACCATCATTGACACCCTCCATAAGGAGGGAAAGCCTCAAAAGGTAATTGCAGAAGAAGTTGGATGTTCCCAAAGTGCTGTATCAAAGCACATTAATAGAAAGTTATGTGGAAGGGAAAAGTGTGGAAGAAAAAGGTGCACAAGCAGCAGGGATGACCGCAGCTTGGAGAGGATTGTCAGGAAAAGGCCATTCAAAAGTGTATGGAGGAAGAATGGAGAGGCCCAAGGACCCCGAGTATGGAGGAAGAATGAAGAGGTCCAAGGACCCCGAGTATGGAGGAAGAATGGAGAGGACCAAGGACCCCGAGTATGGAGGAAGAATGGAGAGGCCCAAGGACCCCGAGTATAGAGGAAGAATGGAGAGGCCCAAGGACCCCGAGTATGGAGGAAGAATGGAGAGGCCCAAGGACCCCGAGTATGGAGGAAGAATGGAGAGGCCCAAGGACCCCGAGTATGGAGGAAGAATGGAGAGGCCCAAGGACCCAAGGACCCAGAGTATGGAGGAAGAATGGAGAGGCCCAAGGACCCAGAGTATGGAGGAAGAATGGAGAGGCCAAGGACCCCGAAGGAGGAGGAATGGAGAGGCCCAAGGACCACGAGTATGGAGGAAGAATGGAGAGGCCCAAGGACCCAGAGTATGGAGGAAGAATGGAGAGGCCCAAGGAATATGGAGGAAGAATGGAGAGGCCCAAGGACCCCGAGTATGGAGGAAGAATGGAGAGGCCCAAGGACCCCGAGTATGGAGAGGAGAGGCACAAGGACCCCGAGTATGGAGGAAGAATGGAGAGGCCCAAGGACCCCGAGTATGGAGGAAGAATGGAGAGGCCCAAGATGACCCAGAGGGGAGCCATGTCATCTGCTGGTGTTGGTCCACTAGCAGGGTCCGCAGCCGTCTACCAGGAGATTTTGGAGCACTTCATGCTTCCTTCTGCAGACCAGCTTTATGGGGATGCTGACTTCATTTCCCAGCAGGCTTGGCTCCGCCCACACTGCCAAAAGCACAAAAACCTTGTTCAATGACCGTGGGATTACTGTGCTTGATTGGCCAGCAAACTCGCCTGACCTGAACCCCATAGAGAATCTATGGGGCATTGCCAAGAGAAAGATGAGAGACATGAGACGGAACAATGCAGAAGAGCTGAAGGCCGCTATTGAAGCATCCTGGTCTTCCATAACACCTCAGCAGTGCCACAGGCTGATAGCTTCCATGCCACGCTGCATTGAGGCAGTAATTGCTGCAAAAGGGGCCCAAACCAAGTACTGAGTACATATGCAGCTTCTACTTTTCAGAGGTGCGATATTGTTCTATGTACAATCCGTGTTTTATTGATTGCATGGAATATTCTCATTTTCTGAGATTGTGGATTTGGGGTTTTCATGAGCTGTAAACCATAATCATCACAATGATGACAAATCACGGCTTGAACTATCTTGCTTTGCATGTAATGAGTCTATCTCATATATTAGTTTCACCTTTTAAGTTGCTGCACTGAAATAAATGAACGTTTGCACAATATTCTAATTTTTCGAGTTTCACCTGTATTACTAACAAAGTGTACTGATGAACCCACTACAGCACAGGATTGTGCAACAAGGTCATGATAGGCTGCTGTACAAACAGCATACAAGTGAAACATTACCGACAAAGGGTTGGTAATAATGTCTCAATGAAACATACTGCGACATTACCAACAAAGGATACTCACAGACCACTGTAGAGCAGTAAATAGCCAACTGTGTCAATATCAGTTTGAGTAGCCCTTGTGGGAGGAGCAGGTGATACTTAAATAGAGTGGGAAATGAAGAGGGGGGTAAACGCAAAAAAAATGTTGCTATTGAATGCAATACCATTAAAAAGTGTTGCAGTGCCAAAATCAGTATGTTGCAGTACATAAGAGGGGACATGCCCTAGAATAACAAGAGAGTGGGCGGCTCCCAAGTACTGACAGATAGTGGTCCGGGGCATCTTCTCTCTCTAATGGGACACCCCATAGAGGTCTTCAGATGCCATAATAAGCTCCTTGCACAAAACTCAGTGCCCAAAGCAACATTACAGGCTTAGACTCTCATCTTCTCTTTGGCAGGGTATAGGTATGGTTGCCCAAGGCTCAGCCGAGAAGTCCACTGATTCAGAACCTGCAAAAGGAAGCTACAGTGGCTATGAAGCAGCTAGGCATCTTGACAGAAAACAAATAGTAGGACATGGTTGCTTCTCTCTAGGAGCAAAGAGAAGACATCTGTTCTAGCAAAAAATAGAAGACATGCTGGGAACGTGAGTGGCTATACTAGGCTGATCTTATAGCTTTGCTTGAAAGTGTCCAAATTCTCCTTTAGGTGGCCTTGCTTTTAATTTTCTCAAATGGTTATATTATATCCACAAAGTAGAACTTAATTTTTTACTCAAAACTGTTGAATCGAACCTTAAAGCCATCAGTCACAAGCAAGCTGAATTAAAACTACATTTACTGTTAGAAATTCGATTGTTAAAGAAAAGTTTTTCGTACCCCTTTTTCCTGTCACTACAGTTAAAAATTAATGTTGATTTGACCCCGTTAATGATTACAAAATTGAGCAAATATTCTTAAAATGATAATTTTCAAACCAAAGTCTGGCTAGTGTATTGCCAGCTTAAGATCTGTCAAGTTGCACCCTATGTCAGAGTGAGACTGGGTGTCACCAGGACAGAAAAGGGGGGATCTCTTACTATCAGAACACAGATAAAAAAAATGTTTTGTTTTTAAATTCCAGGGTTATCAAGCACATTCTGTATATTACTTGGCCATGTATTCACAGATGGAGGCTTCTGTTCGTCATCCGAAGAGCCCAGCATAGTTTCGGGGAGGAGGGTATGCTGTAATGTTCACATTGCATGGGCTCCCCAAACCAATTCATCATCATAAATTGTACAGTTCACAGCTCCATTCATAACACTGAGCAAACATCAGTTCAAAATGGTGCCATGCAGGGCGCTCTGATGCTTGTGTGTCATTGATTGGAGTCACTCACTACGGTATGTTTATGGTGGCTACTCCCCGGGACAATACTGGAAATACACATTTTCTGGAGGCAGACCTCTTCACAATGGGGACTGCCCCATGAAACCAGGATAGATGGGAACCTTATGGTACATACACAGAACCAAAGCTCTGAGTTCTCTTTTACTATTAAGGATTAACCAGAAACATGGATTGTTTATTCATAATAATCAGATCGCTCAGCTTAGAGAGGGTGGGTCTCTGTGCCGGCTGTACCTTCCCCACAGGAACACCCATAATGTGGGCTTCAAACAGGAGGGGAGATACAGCCAGCATTAAGACATATGTTTAGGGTAAACAGTGTCCAATCAGAACAGAACCAAGTGATTTATTCACTTGGTCCGAGGCAGGTTAAATTAAATTAAAATAAAAAAAATAATAATTCTCCTTCAACCACTTGCCGTCCACCTGCTGTTTATAAAACGGCAGGACAGTGACACTCCAGGGACGGGTTGGCATTCATAAACGGCACCCGCCATTTCTAGCTGTGCGTGCTCCCTGGGTGCGCGCAGCACCGCAACCTGGTGCCCACTGTGTCCTCCGGGCACAGTGAAACACCAATCATTGTACGGGACCTCTGTACGAGGTCCCGATCATGTGATCACTGATTGGCCAATCAGTGATAACATGCAGAGTAGTAAGCAAGATGGCACTTGTGACATCATTGCTTACTACATGTGAAATCTGTGAATGATCACGGAGGTCACATGGTACAAGGCTATTCACAACAGCCTTGTACCATGTGACAAGCTGTGACCAATCACAGCTCACTCAGTAGTTCTCAATGGCTGCAAGAATGCAGACAGAGAGAAAGAGAAATTATTGCTTTTACAGCCTTTATGGGTATAAAAGCAATCACTGTAAAAAAAAAAAAAATCTTCATCACCCCCCACAAGTAGTACAGTGTCACCATGGTGACACTGTACTGCTAGGGTGACAGTATGTAAAAAAAAAAAAAAAAAAAAAAAACATAAATAATAATATAAAAATGTAAAAAAATGTTTAAAAAATTATAATTTTTGGTTATAAACTAATTTGGCTTTTTTTTTTTTTTTTTACTAAAAAGATAACGGAATACATTTTGGCCAGGATGTATGATGAAAGATTATTTATTTGCAAAATTTTATAAGAAAAACACTTTTTTTTTCAAAATTTTTGGACTTTTTCATTAGGAAATAGGAAAAAATAAAAATCCCAGCGGTGAATAAATACCACCAAAATAAAGCTTTATCTGTCTCAAAATGTTGTTAAAAAATTCATTTGGGTACAGTGTTGCATGACCGCGCAATTGTCATTAAAAGTGTGATAGCGCTGAAAGCTAAAAATTGCCCTGGACTGGAAGGGGGGGAAGTGTCCGGACAGGAAGGGGGTGAAAGTGTCCGGACTGGAAGGGGGGCAAAGTGTCCGGACTGGAAGGGGGGGGGAGTGTCTAGACTGGAAGGGGGGGGGAAGTGTCCGGACTGGAAGGGGGGGGGAGTGTCCGGACTGGAAGGGGGGGGGGAAGTGTCCGCACTGGAAGGGGAGGGGGAGTGTCCGGACTGGAAGGGGGGGAAAGTGTCCGGACTGGAAGGGGGGGAAGTGTCCGGACAGGAAGGGGGGAAAGTGTCTGGAGTGGAAGGGGGGAAAGTGTCCGGACTGGAAGGGGGTAAAAGTGTCCGGACTGGAAGGGGGTAAAAGTAAAAGTGTCCGGACTGGAAGGGGGTAAAAGTGTCCGGACTGGAAGGGGGTGAAAGTGTCCGGACAGGAAGGGGATGAAAGTGTCTGGAGTGGAAGGGGGTGAAAGTGTCCGGACTGGAAGGGGGGTGAAAGTGTCCGGACTGGAAGGGGGTGAAAGTGTCTGGAGTGGAAGGGGGTGAAAGTGTCCGGACTGGAAGGGGGGTGAAAGTGTCCGGACTGGAAGGGGGTGAAAGTGTCTGGAGTGGAAGGGGGTGAAAGTGTCTGGAGTGGAAGGGGGGAAAGTGTCTGGAGTGGAAGGGGGGGAAAGTGTCCGGACTGGAAGGGGGGGAAAGTGTCCGGACTGGAAGGGGGTAAAAGTGCCCGGACTGGAAGGGGGGGAAAGTGTCTGGAGTGGAAGGGGGGGAAAGTGTCCGGACTGGAAGGGGGTAAAAGTGCCCGGACTGGAAGGGGGGAAAGTGTCCGGACTGGAAGGGGGGGAAAGTGTCCAAACTGGAAGGGGGGAAAGTGTCCGGACTGGAAGGGGGTAAAAGTGTACGGACAGGAAGGGCGGGAAAGTGTCCGAACTGGAAGGGGGTGAAGTGTCCGGACTGGAAGGGGGTAAAAGTGTCCGGACAGGAAGGGCGGGAAAGTGTCCGGACTGGAAGTGGTTAAAGCAGAAGTCTGCTATGTAGACAATTGGCTCTTTGCCTAATGTGCTAGTAAGCTGTGCATCCTAGTATCCAGTACCTCCTAATATAGACCCCTAAACTAAAATTGGGGACCTTAAAACCCTATGAATGGAAATTACCAACCAATAAAGACCCCTAAACTAAAGCCATTAATTTTAAAAACTTCAAGCTTAAATTGTACTAAACTAAAGCTCAATACATGGTGATCCTGCCATGTAGGTCCTTGTTGAAGCATTTCCTGTTATAATGCTTTGTCTCTATCTGTCATTTGTGCTCTTGCATGGTTTTCCTGTCACACCAGCTTTAATGGAGACTATATGTCGCTGTTTCAACACACAATATGCAAACATGTTGTCATCATCAGAAAGCCCACCCCTGAGAAATGCCATGATGAAGTGCGTGTGTAGACACGAAGAAATGAAGTTGCTGTCTTTGGGTGTTGCTGAGCTCACCGGTGCGTTCCTTCTTTTTAAGAATGTTCCAAACAGTTGTTTTGGCCACGCCTAATGTTTTTGCTATCTCTCTGATGGGTTTTTTTTGTTTTTTCAGCCTAATGATGGCTTCACTGATAGTGACAGCTCTTTGGATCTCATCTTGAGAGTTGACAGCAACAGATTCCAAATGCAAATAGCACACTTGAAATGAACTCTGGACCTTTTATCTGCTCATTGTAATTGGAATAATGAGGGAATAACACACATCTGGCCATGGAACAGCTGAGAAGCCAATTGTCCCATTACTTTTGGTCCCTTAACAAGTGGGAGGCACCTATGCAAACTGTTGTAATTCCTACACCGTTCACCTGATTTGGATGTAAATACCCTCAAATTAAAGCTGACAGTCTGCAGTTAAAGCACATCTTGTTCGTTTCATTTCAAATCCATTGTGGTGGTGTATAGAGCCAAAAATGTTAGAATTGTGTCCATGTCCCAATATTTATGGACCTGACTGTACATAGGAAAGTAGATCATATGTACTTGATATAAACTTTTTTTTTTTACATTTCTTCTGTCAGTTCCTGGGTTCTAGGCCTAGGCAAATGATGTCAAACATCCCAGGAGTTTTCAGGAGTGGAGGAGGTATTTCCTCAGTTGAGCACCCCTTCCTGTCTGCATGACCGAGCAAAGGGCAGATGGATTCCAGAAAGTAAATGTTACATGAATCATCTGCCTTTACTCGTGATGGCCATGGCAAGATATTCTCGGAGGGTATTTTTCAAATTGATTTCTCAGCACAGTAAAGCATAGAGACACGAATGGATGGATTTGCTTTGCTTTTTTTAAAAATTACATTTATTTTGTAGTGCTCAGATGCCGTGTAGTTCTGCTTTAAATATGAATTAACCCTCCTATCCTTTACAGCTAAGGAAGCTGTCATCTTGGGGTCTGTTTTATTTGCAGTTGCCATGATGCTTGACAGTTCAGTTCACAGCACAGCCATGCAAAGCAGTGTGCTTACAGTGAAGCACACACACACACAGGACACAATGTAAAACGACACACAGTTAACCCTTTGATTGTCCCACATGTTAACCCCTTCCTGCCCAGTGCCATTAGCACTGATCACTTTATTGGTGTCACTGGGGATGTCAGTGACACCAAGTCAGTTCCCTTCAGTGTCAGAAAGCCCATGGCACTCCTGCAATATGTCGCTGATCGCTGCCATTACTAGTAAGAATAAAAAACCCCAGTATATATACCGCAATTTTTAAACGCTTTAACTTTCACGTAATCCAATTCATTTACATGTATTTGGATTTTTTTAGCAAATATGTCGCAGAATACATTTTGGCGTAAATTTATGAAGAATTCGATTTTTTTTTACTGGATGTTTAATAGCAAAAATCAAAAAATAATGTTTTTTTTTTTCTCAAAATTGACAGTATTTTTTTTGTTATAGCGCAAAAAAATAAAAACCACACAGGTGATCAAATACCACCAAAAGAAAGCTCTATTTATGGGGAAAAAAGGACAAATTTCATTAGGGTGCAGCGTTGCATGACTGCGCAATTGTCAGTAAAAGTAATGCAACCCCATAACGCAAAAAATGGCCTGGTCATGGAGGGGGGTAAATCCTCAGGAGGGCAAGTGGTTAAAACCGATGTAATTTCTGAACGATAACCACTGGCCAAAAAATTTGTTTAATTGAGAAAATTTTTCCTTCCTGCCCCTTCGAATTTTCCTGTCACTGCTGTCGAAAATGAACATCGATTTGACCCCACTAACGATTACAAAATCAAATGAATATTTTTGAAATGAACATTCTTGATTGAAAATCTATACTTGTAGGGCCAGCTTAAGCTGTGCATGTCTCATCTGCAATAAAAGCCTAATTGCAGTTTTGTTTTTTGTTGTTTGTTTTTTTTATTCAGTGAAACTTTAGGCACTTGTCTGTTAATCCACCGGATTTATTTATTTAATGCGTGTAAGGTGACTATCGTAATTAGCGCTGATGTCATTTCCGTTCTAAATCTGAAGAGAAAAGACGCCATGAATCTCTTAGAACTTTCGGCTTTAGTTCATGACAAAGCTTCCAGTGTACAATTTCTGCAACAACGCGGGGTTCTGCACAATGGAAGGCGCTGTTCAAACAATCATGCCGTAACTCTTTTGCTGAGCGATCGTCAGGATCCTTGGTGGTGCCATCAAGGTACATGTAAAGAAGACCTACCTCTTCGCAAAGGGACATGGCTACAAGGTTCGCGACTGTCATACCGCCAGATCGTGCTTTTCATTTACTGTTGGTCTAAAGAGCTGACAAGCGTCTCATTTTGTGATAGCGAGTTGGACATTGGTCATGATGCAACAATAGATTGGAATAATTATCTCCGTGAGGTTTGTGCTAACTCTTTGATTTTAAATCCTGTAGTGATCGGCGGCCCTAATACAACCTCCGAAATAGATGAAAGTTTGTTCTCCCGCCACAAAAATCAGGTCGGAAGAGTCCTTCCACAACAATGGGTGTTCGGTGGTATATGTCGGGAAACAAATCAGTGTTTTATGTTTCCAGTGCAAGACTGTACATCGGAAACACTGCTCCCCATCATTAAAGCGAACATTCTACCTGGAACAACAGTGATCTCAGATGAATGGGCTGCGTACAAGACGGTTAATAGACAGGCTGGACTGACGCATTTAACCGTTAATCATTCACAGAACTTTGTGGATCCCGTGACCGGTGCCCATTCTCAGAAAATCGAACGATCGTGGAAAGCGACCAAGGAATACAACAAACGCCATAATGGAATGCATAGACAATTGCTTGATTCATATACACCGCGTTCCAAATTATTATGCAATTCTATTTAAGTGTCACAAAGAATAAATCTTTTGTTTTTCAGTGTAACTCATGGATGGCATTGTGTGTCAGGGCTCTTTTGATCACTGAAAACAATCTGGGACACCTGTGATAATTCGATTGGCCGGTGAGCCCAATTTCAGGACAAACTACTAAAGGAGGGCATTCCACATTATTAAGCAGAGCACCATTTTCAAGCAATATGGGGAAGAAAAAGGATCTCTCTGCTGCCGAAAAGAGTGAAATAGTTTGATGCCTTGGATGAGGTATGAAAACATTTGATCTTTCAGGAAACCGTAAGCGTGATCGTCGCACTATGAAGAGATTTGTGGCTGATTCAGAGCAAAGACGGGTTTGTGCAGATAAAGGCACATTGAGGAAGATTTCTGCCAGATCCATGCGTCGGATCAAGAGAGCAGCTGATAAAATCCCATTACATAGCAGCAAACAGATAATTGAAGCTGCTGGTGCCTCTGGAGTCCCACGGACATCAAGGTGTAGAGTCCTTCAGAGTCTTACAACTGTGCATAAACCTTCTATTCGGCCACCACTAACCAATGCTCACAAGCAGAAACGGCTGCATTGGGCAGAAAAATACATGAAGACTAATTTTCAAACAGTCCTGTTCACTGATGAGTGCCGTGCAACCCTGGATGGTCCAGATGGATGGAGAAGTGGATGGTTGGTGGACGGCCACCCTGTTCCAACAAGGCTGCGACGTCAGCAAGGTGGTGGTGGAGTCATGTTTTGGGCCGGAATCATGGGAACAGAGCTGGTTGGCCCCTTTAGGGTCCCCGAAGGTGTAAAGATGACCTCTGCAAAGTATGTGGAGTTTCTGACTGACCACTTTCTTCCCTGGTACAGAAGGAAGAACTATGCTTTCTGTAATAAAATCATCTTCATGCATGACAATGCACCATCTCATGCTGCAAAGAATACCTCTGCATCAATGGCTGCTATGGGGATAAAAGGAGAGAAAGTCATGGTGTGGCCTCCATCCTCCCCTGACCTCAATCCTATTGAGAACCTTTGGAGCATCCTCAAGCAAAAGATCTATGAGGGTGGGAGGCAGTTTACATCCAAACAGCAGCTCTTGGAGGCTATTCTGACATCTTGCAAACAAATTCAAGCAGAAACTGTCCAAAAACTCCCAAGTTCAATGGATGCAAGACTTGTGATCTGCTATCAGATAAGGGCTCCTATGTTACAATGTAACGTGACCGCTTCAAATGTTTACAAAGTTACAATGTTGGGAAAAGTTTGATTGAAATAGTTTTTGATTTCAGTAAATTTGCTGCAAACACAAGAAATGACAATTTTCAGTTCTTTACAACCTAGAAAGTGTTTTGAAACTTCCTGTGCGGAATAATCCGGAACAAAAATCCTGTTATCATTAGGAGGTTTGTTCAATAAAATGTGAATTGTACTCTTCTAGTTGTCACCTGAGAATTCTGCCGACTTATTTACATCAATTATTGAGGAAAATTAGAAAAATATAATTTGCAGAATAATTTGGAATGGGGTGTATGTGTGAGTATATGTGGCGCTGCAGAGAGTTCGAGCCTGCAAACTCAATGTGTTCGACAGCATTCTCAGTGATAGTGCAATTTTGGCCTCCATTGTGACCCACTTTACTGACATCCTAGCTA